CTCCAGTGGCAAATAGGGGAGAAATTAATATTTATTCTTGTGCTTTATCTACCTTCCTAAAGAAGCTCTTTTTGAGTGACATTTGGGTCTGATACTTTAAGATAAAAGGAATAACCATCACCACCACCCTCAAAAGTATTCTCTAACTGGTTCTCTCCCATTCATTCAATCTGTATATGCAATCACGGCACTATTTCTGAACAATGACTCACATTTCAGCACACCTGCACTGTTTTCTAAGGCAGCATAATCAATCTGGGATTGGCTAATAGATCTATTTCTTCTTTTTGTGCACCACAGCAGACACCTCCCTAGCATCCTCAATCGTTCAAATGCTTAATTACCCAGTATGAGCTGGGATATAGGACATATTTAGCAAATCAATGTCATTAAGAAGGTACATTTTAATTCATAATTCTAATATGAAATGTTGACTTTGAAGTCTAATGTTAATGTATCACTCATCAATGACTTATCCAAAATTATTAACGTTAGTGATTAAAATACCCACTGTAGATATGAGCAAAAAGGGGTAAATGGATCAGCCAGTGGTGTTTTGCCAGTAAAATGTTCTTTGTAATAAGCATTGAAAGTATTCGTGTGGTGCAAACAGTCTGTGAGTTCACCTATCAATTGAAAAAATGTCAGAAGAAAGACATGGGAATCTGCTTCCATAAGAAAAATGATGCAGAGTTCAGTTCTACTTTGTAGCACATGGGGTTGCCATGAATCAGAATAGACTTATGTGGCATCTGATTTAGTTTTGGTATACAACCACCTGTACCTCTGTATTACCTAACCATGCCTAACGGAAAGAGAAAAACCTTATAAATCTTACTATTTTAGTACATACATGTTACATAAAGGAACATTAAGCATTTTATTGCTATTATTTATTTCTAAGTTATCAACTGTTAAGTAAACATCCAATTATGACCATCTTTGAACCTAGAATGGATTTTGCCCTAGTATTCAGTATAATTCAATACTAACCTTTTGTGGTACTAAGCTTTTTAGTGTTTAGTGGAATGATATACGTAAGAAAGTAAATTTGATGCATGGATTTTGCCCTAGTATTCAGTATAATTCAATACTAACCTTTTGTGGTACTAAGCTTTTTAGTGTTTAGTGGAATGATATACGTAAGAAAGTAAATTTGATGCTGCAAAAGGGATATATCATGGCATTTTAACTTTTCTTTGATCTTTGTTTTAAAGATTATGAAGCCAATTGTGTGCATATATATACATGGCTTTTCAGGACCCATAGCTTCACTACACTACAGGATACAATGCCATGTAGTCCACAGACAACTGCAGGTTGTTTTTTCTTGAGTGCTTTATCCTGTTAACTACATCTCCATGTAGGGCTGAGAAGAATGACCTGTGAAAACTGTGTTGCTTTGCTGTTGTGATTGTGCACAGATGTGCAGGAAGGGCTGCCTTTGGGCCAGATACACACGGGAGTCTTGCAAGTTAAGTACCACTTTGATTTCTTGTTTACACTGGAAAATTTTTTTTTCTCCCCATGGAATGCAAGTAAAAGTTAGTGTTTGTCACCAATAAATGGTAATACTAATTTTTTTGTTAATTTATTCTTAAATGTCACTACTGCTAGATTCTTCCCTCCTACCCCACCTCCTTTGTTTTTATTTTTAAGGAAATAAATTTGTAATGCTTGTGATTCCATCTGGGCAAAAATAAGAAGATCTGAAATAACTTTATACCAAACTATTGATCGATAAACAGCTACTAATGAGAAGAGAAAAAAAGTTTCTATTATCTACTACCAGTTTATTTTATTGTTTTGCTTCTCTACAGTTGTGTGATGAATGTGGGTAATATGAGAAGTTATTGGGCCCATACAATAAATATAAATCTACATGAATGTCCTATGCATAAAGCAAATGGAAGTGAGAGAGTAGGCATATTTGTTGAAAGTGTGTACAAAAATGAACTCTTCTTTTATGTAATTATTAAAGCTCAAAATAAGGTCCCAAACAATGGATAGAATTAGAATTTAACTGGTCACACATATGTTACAGGATCAAACAATTTTTTATTCCATTGTATCTAAGAAAACTATGAGTCAGAACCAACTCAATGGTACTTAGTAATCATTACAGTGAATGATTTTTAATTTTTTATCACAATTTTTGTAATTCTTAAAAGAAAAATACCCTTACTTCTCAGTCACAGAAATCATTAAATGCAGATTTTTTTACTTTACATAAAACCACCTAAGTTTCACTTGTCAATCTAAAGTTGAATATTAGATTAAAATAATTTCTGCATGAAAAATAAAAATAAATTACTAATGTGTATACATTAAAGTCATGGATAGTGTTTGGTGGAGTTCCCAGTTTAAGACAGGTTTGGAAGCAGGAGTGGCATACACCTCTTAAACAACATGATTAAGGAAACTCTATGAACTTTGATAAATGTCAATAGCTATAGAAAGGCTTCAGACCTTTTGTTCAGACGGTCGCAATGAGTTGTGCTCGACTCAACAGCAATCACCACCAACAACAACATACATTAAAGTTTGGTAGAATAGCAATAATAAACACTTACTTTTATAAGTTTTATATGTTTATAAGTATTTTTCTTGTATATAAGCACATAACTTTTATGCCAGGCACTATTCTAAAAATTTCTCCTTTAATTCCTATAAAAACCTTTGACAATATATTTCATTATTATCCTTACTTCACATAGTGGAGTGCATTTGGGGCAGGGAGGGGCAAGGTCGGGGACGGGAGAATTGTATACCAACAAAGAAGTTTATCTTTTGCTTTTCAAGGAGAGGAGTGAGCTGGGGGTCAGGGGGTAGAGAAAAAAGTGCAACAATGAAGGAATAAAAATCCAAAATCTCTGTAAATGTTCATTAAAATTAATAAAATAAAATTTTTTTAAAAAGGTATGGAGATAGGATGCATCCTTGGCATATACCTTTCCCGATTTTGAATATATATGTTTATTTTGGTTATTTTTTAAAATAGAAATAAGCTATTCTATAAATATGTCAAAACTTATCAAATTGCATACTTTAAATATGTACAGTGGTTGTTAATTATACTTCAATAAAGTAACTAAAATTAAAAAAAATATTTTTTAAAAAAGCTAAAATAAATTGAAATGCAGAGAAGTTAACCAACTAGATGGAGGTAAAAAATACAGGGTCATATAAAAAAGTGGGGGCAAAAGGAGAATAGGAAAAGAGTGGCTAGATTATGAACACTGCCCTGGAAAAGATGAATGGAGGGATTTTCTGAAAGGAATGTGTAATTAGACATTATATGTATGACAACTAACAATCTGGAACAAGAGGGACATTACAAAGTGGCCTGGGGAAAAGGAAGAGAGAAGGAGAGAGTAAAATGTGGAATAATAAATGAACGAATGAGTAAAAATTCAATATATTTCTGTAAACTTTCATTAAGTGACAATTTTTAAAACTCTGTAAAGAAAAATCAGAGTATCTAAAAATAATTTAACTTTGATTCCAAAGTATTTGACTCAGGTATTTAAAAACTTCTAATACAGCTATGAGTTGAAGTACTTTTAACTTTATAAGTTATTAAAATAAAGTCTTCTCTTCTTTGTCTTGCATGGCAAGTACCATAATAATACTACTATATTGGCATCACTAAGAACTTTGTTGGACAATTGCAGAGGAAGCCAATATTGGAAGGACTGAGAACTTGGGAACACTTAAAGCCATGAGGCTTGAGGCCAAGGTGCCTCATGCATATTTCTGGAACTGTCTTGTGTGTGTGTGTTGCTGTTGTTATTGTTTTATCTCCCCTAATATGGTTTTGTGTGGCCTGTGAGCTATCACATCAGATTTTAGACTAGAAATTCATGAATTTAAGCCTATGTTACAAAGCTCTCAAGCAGTTAGATTTGTATTGAGATAGGTAGAAACAGGTATGGGAGTGGGGGAGAATATATTTGACATCTAGGGAATTGGTTTTGTGTTATTAGTGATGTGGGCAAGAGTAACTTTCCTCTGTGAAGCTGGTAAAGGTCAGGTATGGCCCTCTTCATGTAACCCTTGCTTTTTTTTTTACATACTACTATTACTACTTCAATTGCAATAATACTCACAATACCTAAATAAAAAGAGAGAGAGAGAGAGAGAGAGAGAAGAATGGAGAGTTCAATTGCTATCCTGTTATTAACCTGTTGGGCTATCACTGGCATATCAGTACTGAAAAGAACTAGCCCTTGGAATAGTATCATTACTTGCTTTTGAGAGAACTCCCTTGGTAGTGGGTTTTTCTTTTCTGACCTTTGTTTAAAAAACACTATAAACCAGCTTACTAGATATAAGCTCAAGGGAAACACCTAGTTTTGGGGGTTATTTGACTTGGAAAATAGAAATCTATGGCATAATCAATTAATCCTGCCTACCTTTATAGGATAAAAACAGGGTATAGTGTTAAGGATTTATTGTTCGACATGGCTTCCCTAGTCATTTTCTGATATTGCCATGTGGATGGGTCGAAATATATGAATAGGGCATGTTAGCCTATCCACAAGGGGACTGGCTAGTCTTGCCATTAAACTGAGTAGATACAGCAGCAGAATGAGAGAACCTCACTACCAGCAAAAGAGAAGTAGGCATGTAGAGCACGTCCTTCATAGGCCAGGGATTTCTGCACCAGCTGGACCTACAGCAGCAACAGCTGTGGCCGAAACAGAGCACCAGAGACCCACTTGAGATGGAGTGGACCTTGGGACTACTACCTCCAATGGAATAAGAGCTAAAAGCCTTTACCTAAGTTGTTTAAACAACAATAAATGAACATTCTCATGGTTTTTAAGCCAGTTTAGTAAAATTCTACACAGAATCAAAATAATTATGTCTCTTCCTTCCTCCCTCCATTATTCTGATGGCAGCTCTGGTAGTTCCCCTTAACATGATAAGCCTCACACTTCTCTTTAAATACTTAAAGAAACATACTATTCACTATCCCAAGAGGGAAAACATCTTACCTTCTAAATCCTCCTTCTCAAAGTGTGTCTTGAGTATCGATCGAGTCCCACCTCTATCCACAACTGCTTCTTCATCATTTCTCTGTAGAATGGGTAGAGAGAAAATAAAATATACTGTGTATATTCACTTAATTTTCAGAAAACAAACTTCAATGTGATCAAGTATTTTAAGATGTTGATTCTGTAACTCAAACTATTTGTAAGCGAACAGTCCATTTGACTGCTGGGTATTCATTTAAAAAGAAGACAGAAATAAATTTGACCACACATCCAGAGAATAAATGTCATTAGATTTTTCTGTGAAATTGAAGACCATCAAATAGTCCAGCTGCCCTAATTTGCTGGTGAGATAAAAAATAGAAAATGGTATCCTGTCAATTTAGTGACATTCATTTTTATCTATGATAATGCATCCTGTTTAACAATATGACATTTTGAACTACACAAGGAAGATATGAAAATCATTAGTATAACTACTAAAGAAAGATAAGGCAGGCTAAAATAGTACTACTGCCATTAAATATAGGCTTAGGGACCTAATTCCTTGTAAGGAATTAATACAATGATTTCATAAAATACTTTGCTTTAGTATAATATATTTTACTCAGAAACTAGACTGTAAATTACAGTCATGTGCATTAAATCTTCATTGAACATTGTATCTAATTCACATTAACCCCTTCAACCTCTACAATAATAGGGCCCATAGTATGATCCATTGCACTCTGCAGGAACAGGCAAAATTCAGAATGACATATTGTCATTCACCTATTGTCAGTATTCATGTAGTTATGAACACTGAGCACAAAAGGAGAAATGAAAAATTGAACTATAGATGAATAAAGTTTCCAAGATAATAGAATATGGCCAGCAACTTCTATACTGGGAAGTTTTGCCTGGATACCTCTACCAGGTTAGCACAGACTATTATGTGACTATGGAGATGTCCCTTAAACACAAAGCAGCACAGCAAGATGTAAGAAAGCATACACCCTTAAATATGTGCAGAATATGGTAAGTGAAAGGCAGCTACTTTGCCACCCTGGATGCTTTGGCAGCTAATGTCCAATTAGCTACAAAAACACATAGAAGAACACTGCAGGAGAAGCTACAGTTAGAAAAGGACAGGAGAAAAATCACATGTGAAGCCACAGGTCACATTCTGTCTAAGCAGACTCATTCTCTACTACAAACAGGGTGAGCATCTAGGTTTACAGAAATGGAAGTGGAGAACATAGAGACTGGGAAGGGTGTGCAAGGAGCACAGACCATGAATGAAGGAGACCAACCACTGCTGGTGCACCATTTCCCCCTCCGTAACCTTGAGTCCAGGTCAGGTGTTGCCTCATGCCTTCTGTCTTGCTCAGGCTCAGAAGATAGCTGGGGTGAGCAATGGGGAGTGAGAGTGAGCATGGAGAGGTGACAGCAGGGCTAGACAACCCCCCATGCGTGCAGCATAAAAGGAAGCCACCTGTCCATTTCCTCTGTGCTCCCTGCTCTACTTCCCCCTCCCTGTTATTCACAGAGAGGCTTTTTCAAAACTCTGGTAGCACCTTCATATGGCATCACCCAACCTGAAAAGGTCAATTTAGACAAATCTGAGAGGGTTAGAGGGAAGAGAATATGAGCCACAGGATAAGCGAACATAAAAGAGCTAGAGAACCAGACCTGAATGGCCAATCAGAAGCTCCCTAAAAGTAACCTGGGAGCAGGGACTACAGGCGAGAGATAAGCAATCAGCTACAGTTTGAGTCAATATTAAAAATAAAAGTTGAAGCCAGAACAATAATGCCTTTTGGCTCCTACTACCCCCTCTCCAAACAAGTGGACTCTCAGGGGACTCAGATTGTCTCTAAGAACTATGGATGAGGACAGAAGTCACCTAAAGTTCTAAGCATTAAAATCCTTCAGGAAGACCAAAGGCCCATGTAGAAGTCACCATACCCCACTGATTAAGACAAACAAGCAAAGAGCTAGCTCTGGTTGATCAGAGTACACCTTTATTTTTTTTTCCCATCCCTGAGTCATTTCAAAGTGATTTTCCCTTACTAATTGAAACTCTAGGGATTAATTCTTTGTGAAAAATTCCAAATCTCGGTAAAAGTATTGAAAGCAAGTGCCGCCATACGTGAAATTTGCACTAGAAATCCTGAGTAGAGACATGAACACATATCATTCTGGGTTGGACCTGCTTAATGTGTTCTTTAGTGTCCCCTGAGCCCATCTCAGGGCCACCTTCACCTTTTCCTGTGAGGGACAATGGACATTCCTGATCACCCAGACACAGTTCCACCATATTCTCATGGTATAGTTGTTAAAGACTTTACTCTGATTTCTTTAAATGCTGTTTCATTACATTGAAGATATCATGTTAACTGCTAAAGATATTTATTTGTTACAGGTTAACTAATCACTCTAATCTGTCATCTACAGAAGAGAGGATGGACAGTAAGCCCCTAAAAAAAAATACAGGGACAGGGAACATTGGTAAAATTCCTAGTTATTATCTATCTAGTCAGTCACATCTGTGTGTTCTCTGAAACCAAGGCACAAAGTTACTACACTCCCAGGTTAAAAAAAAAAAAGGTCCAGGTCTTTGAGGATCTTTTGGGACACTGGAGGAGATTTATACCCCACCTATTCCTAGGAGAAGAGAGTTGAGGATCCTGGCCATGCCACTCTGCAGACCAAGGATATTTGTCAAAAGAAATACTGCTTATATTGGTGTTCCTGGTCTTGTGCCACTTCTGAGATAATAGAGAACAATAGGCTTCAGGAGAAAAGACATTATCAAGAGGACATTCTACTCACATAGCACTGAAGACAACATCCCAAGCATGTGACTCAAGAACACGAACATCACAGGAGAGTAAAGAGAAAGTTGGTGGACAGAAGTGGGTAGAGGCCTGAGTCATCAAACCAGGATTGGCTAGGGCTAGGGGGTAGTGGAGGGGCAAGGAAAGGGAACTGAGCTGGATGTTAACAGAGCAAGAGTGGAATGAGAATAAGACACATGTACCCAAGAGGGTGGCAGGTGGGACTAACACATGGTCCATTATTTGAATAAGGGGTAAGGTCTCTCATCTGCTGTTTTGGACAAAATATTTGTCTGTCAAATACTGCTCTAGAATTGAGCATCCAAACTAAGACAGACTAGGAACAAAGTTTGGATGCTCAATATCTGACAGATAAGCATTTTACTCAGTAAAATGCTTATCTGTCAGATATTGAGCATCCAAACTAAGACAGACTAGGGAGAAGGAGTGGTCATCCACTTCTGACATAACAGGCTTCAGAAAACCCTACGTCCAACAGAGCATGTAGAGTAGATTAGTAGATATAGCACAGTAGGCAGAATTTCTTATTGGGAATCACAAAGGATGAGAAACAGTCGCAAACAGACACTACTTACTGGAATGTGGAAAGTAAAAAGTATAAATATGGGAAAATTGGAAATTTTTAAGAATGACATGAAAGGCATAAATATCAACATACTAGGCATTAGTGAAATGAGATGTGTTGACAATGGGACATTTTGAATCAAATAATCACATGATCTACTATGTTTTTTAATTGTTTTCGGTCAAACATTTTTCTAGGTTGTAAAGCACTGGTCTGTCCATTTGCTGTACAGAAGTAACTCATGGTTGCTGTGATACTAAACACTGTGATACTGATGTGTCAAATGCGATAATGTTTGCCCATAGTGGGCAGTGTTTGGTGGAGCTCCCCGATTAAAGCAAGCTTGAAAGCAGGACTGGCATGCACTTCTGAAATAGCTTGTCTCCAGAAACTCTATGAACTTGGACAAATGGTAGAAGTTATACAAGTGTTCAGGTCTTTTATTCATAGGGTTGTTATGATGTCTATAACTCGACAGCACTTAACAACAACAATGATTATGCTGGAAATTGAAAGCTCAGAAAACGAGGTGGCATTCATAGTTAAAAACGCCATTTCCAGATGCATCTTGAAATACAACATTGTGAATGACATGATAATATCCATACACATACAAGGAAGACCTGTTAATATCACTATCATTCAAATATATACACAACATCCCAGGCCAAAGAGGAGGAAATATATCACTTCTACCAAATTTTTCAGTCAGAAATTGTTGTGGAATGTTGAGGAGGAAGGGAGTGCCTCTGTTCAGGACAGACTGCCTAAGCTCCAGATAAGTGCAAGCCTCACAACGGCCTTTAATACAGGGTAGAGAAAGCTCCTCTGTCTTTGGCTGTACCGGCTTGAGAAAGCTCACCACCTGGGAAGACTACTGCCACATCTGTTGAGTGGTCTGCAAGAGACTGAGATTCTCCTAACCAATCTGCATGTCCCACGTCTGTAAGCCCACCCTAGCCTGTCTTCCTGTTTATAAGTGCACTGCAGATCCCAATAAAATTGAGCTGGATTGACTCTCTGTTCCTCTCCCCAAGTGGTGTATATCCGTCGTGCTTACCCCCATCAGGGTATCACTGTTAAGTTGTCGGCAGACTGACAGGGACAAGAAATTGATCAAATATTCAACCAAGACACCTTGATAATAATTGGTGACTGGAATGCAAAGGTTGGGAATAGGGAAGAAGGATCAGTAGTCAGAAAGCATAGACTTAGTGAGAGAAATGAGGATGAGGCTGGAGAGAGAATGATAGATTCTGTACAATCAATGACCTATTCATTGAAACATATTTCATAAGAAATATAAATGGCAACTATACACCTGGACTTAACCTGATAGTCTACACAGGAATCAGATTTATAACCTCTGTGAAAAAAAAATTGCTGGAGAAGCTCAATATCAACCGTGACAACTAGGCCAGGTACAGAGAATGAAATAGACCATCACCTATTCATATTCAAGTTCAAACTGAAGCTACAGAAAATAAAACCAAATCAACAAGAACCAAAATTTGACCTAATGTCTATCTCACCAGGATTTAAAGACCATCTGTGGAGGGATATCAAGAATATCATCCATGAAGAATGCAAAAGACATTACAAAGACAGACAGAGGAAGAAGAAAAGACCAAAATGGATGTCAAAAGAAACTGAATATTGCACCAGAGCACCAAGAAGCCA